CTTTCCTCACAAACAAATTCCTCCCTTTCATAGAATCCCAGGGAAAAACAAACAAATTAAAAAGGACTGGTCTATCAGTTACACATGACTGATAAGGAAATTAATCAGAAACGGAGGAGACTGTGATTATCGCAATGAATCCACGGCTCTTTTATATTGCAGAGCTGACTCGGTCAAGCTATGTTTTTCGTGCGACAGGGAAGTTCACTCAGCCAACCAACTATTCACCAGGCACACTCGGTCACAGTTCTGTGACGCCTGTGATGATTCCCCTGCTTCCATCTTTTGCGAGACGGAGCAATCTGTTTTCTGCTCGAATTGCGATTGGGAAAGGGAAAGCCACAAGTTTCCCTCGTCTTCGTTGCACAAGGGGAGACCCATAGAAGGGTTTACTGGGTGTCCTTCGGTGACTGAGTTGGTGAGTTTCGTTGGAATTGAGGAATTGGGCGATAAAGCTCCGATTTTGAGTGAAAGGGATGGTGGCAATGGTGAGGACGATGGGTGGTTGGATTTGTTGAGCTGGGAAATTCCGGTGATTTCTAGCTTCGACGATTTGCTTGTTTCGAGTGATTTTGATCATGGGTTTAAGCCGACAATATTCTTCCTTTGCCCAAGGTAGGTATCAAGTTGGAACTGAGGTTTTACTGCTATGGTTGTAGGGTAATTACAGCAAAGAAGTTTGAGATGAACTGTTTGCCTTTAGCTGCAAATTTCTTAGCCTTTGCTTACACTTATTGTTCTGGGGAATTGAGGCTTCAAGTTCATGGTGTTATGTATTTGATTGAATTCGCTATTGTCTTCTAACATATAACATGGATCAATGTACTGTTTTTGAATCAGAATCGTAATGCTTCTTGTGGGCAACACAAGGTGGAGGTAATTCATCAGCTCTGTGAACTGGCGAAGTCGGAAGGAACCTACCCTCGGCTTTGGAAAGACTGTTGTCGAAGCCATTGGTGGGTTCAAGCCACGGATGCCTGATGCTGATAATTTGCAGCCAGGAATCGTGCATACAAGTTGCAAAAACTATACAGATCCAATTTCATTTCCTGCTTATGAGGTATGCATTTCCTTTTGTAGTTATCTCCAAGAGATTTTGTATATCCTTGATTGCAATCCTTTTCTCAATATGTAACGTTCCCGATATAGAGCATTGGGTTTTGTATGGGATATCGATTGATAGATGAACCACTTTTTCTGTTTCTAGATGTTTGATGTAATTCTGGAAACTGAAGGTGCAGATTGGCTATGGAGAAAATAATATAGCTAACACTCTATGTTGATGATAGATCTCAGCATTTGATATGTTTTGACTACCTGGCTTCCAATGGATATGTTTGGTATTTAGGGAGCATCTTAAAATATGAACTTTTGGCTTGTTTACCTGAAATAGGGTACTGATCGTTTTTCCCTTCATGCAGTCGAGTGCACGACGGCGCTTCAATGACAGTGTCGAGACGACCAATCAAGTATTTGTGCCTCTTTCCCAACTAAGAGACCATACTGAGGAAACTGCTGTGGTTCCTGATAAACATCCAGGTTCTAGCAAGACAACACCTTTGAGTGATGGTCTTGAGAACCAACTACAACATCAAAACGATTCTGGAATCACCTCAGCTCTTCCAAAGGTTGCTGTCCACGAGTTAAATAGCCAGGAGAGAGGGTCTGCAATCTCACGTTACAAGGAGAAAAGGAAAACAAGGAGGTATTGCTTCACTTTGTCTCGTATTCAACATCTTCAATCTATATTGTTAACCCAAACAACCCATTCCACGGTTTTCATGAAGTTGATGAAGCATTCCGCCACTGCAGTAAAACACATGCCTGTATAATCTAACTGTCGAAATTCTAATCTGCTTTAACCTTTTAGTAGATCACCTTGTTCTTTCGTCTGCATTTTGTTCAGAAATGTTTCTTTGAATGATGACAGGTTTGACAAGCACATCAGGTATGAATCAAGGAAGGTTAGAGCTGAAGCAGTACAAGAATTAAGAGACTTTTCGCAAAGATAGAGCGATGAGACACTGGTAAACATACAACTTTGAGACTGGAATTGATTTGTATTCTTTGTTCTTTAGAAGCTAAATCATAGTAAGATAAAGATTTATTGTAAAATATGATTTATGCAATTAATTTTTAGCTTTTATACCCATTATATTGATTTGTAATACCATATCTGATCCATGCCTGAAAATTAGATAAAGCTTCTTGGTTTATTCCTTTTTTTCCTCTCTTTTTGTTAGAAAATTCTAGTTTTTTTTCGTGTTTCGTGTAGGGTTGGGCATTCCGATCCGATCACCATTTTTTTAACTTTGAAGGTCATAGTTTGTGCAGAAAGTCCTGAGAAAAGGCACCTTGAACTTCAAATTTTGGAAGTTTTAGACTTGTATTCTGACCTTTCTTTCTACATTACAGATTGTCAAATACTACTTGGAATCTTGGGAACTTTTTATAATGTTAATGCAAATAAAACAATGGTTGGTGAAACTTATGCGTCCTGTATTCATAATATTTCATTTTGACACTGTAATGAGACCCACCAACCAGCAGTCCTTTCTGTTTGGGATGCTAATATTTATGACTCCATCTCCTCCTCAACTCCCATCTACCTCGATATCTTCTGAAGATTGAGAATGGCAAGTGCCGCAAGCCAAAAGAAACCCCCCCCCCCACCAATGCGTGATTTTTGAAGCCGACATTCGTTGACAATTGCTGCCAAAAAAATAGCAAACCTTCATCCAATGCTCATGCGAGTTACCATATTGGCATCCCAACAGCGATTGCTGCCCCATTAGCGGTGAACAGTAATATCTTTATGGTGGTGTCTAGGAATGGCGAGAACGATTGCCGTCTTTGGGTCTAGGAATGGCGAGAACGATTGCCGTCTTTGGAAGTCCGGACTGCCTTTGTGGCTACCTGTGATGCTGCTGAATCAAGTTGGTTGTCACAGTGAAACTATTATGGTATATTCAGTGACTAGCCACATTGGAGGAAGAGGTAGACCACGCTTTCAACAAGGTTGTAATATATATATATACTGTCGTGCACTTGCATAAGAATCCTGAATCTGTCATTGTACCGAATGATCAATATTTTCATGTAGTGTGAGCTACCGCCAAAGATTCGGCCATACAATTTTGTATAGTCCTCCATGGGTCATCCTCAAGAAACCTCCTGATAAATTTATATCACTATCATAACCTAAACATAACTAAAGCTTTTTATAGGCTGAGTTGTGCCAACATTCAAGAACACAGGTTCCCACAGCTACCTTGGGAAGCAAGTAAATCACTGACGAGACAAAATGATCTAGGACCTCAGGCTACAAGCCTGGCGACGACTATAGCTCGCCGAGGTGGTGGTGGGATGCGAATAACCATTAGGGCCAGAGTAATGATAAGGACCGTAAGAAGTCGCATGATATATTCTTAGCTGTTGCTTGTCTTCATATATATTGGAACAAACGAATTTTACTTCCATAAAATATATGTTATCGATATTAAAAATATTCTGAATAAATATTACTACTACACTAACGGCATGTAATCTAAAAGTTAATCCTTTTTTTCAAAACAATAAAAAAAATTGATACTAAATGTAACTAAATTATTCACAATCGAGTTAACTTTTTTTCCTTCAAAATAATAAAAAAGAATTTGATACTAAATTTAACTAAATTATTCACAGTCGAGAATAACTTCGTAATTACTATTCTTTATCTAATTTCTTAAATTATTTTTAATACGATTATTTTTAAATTTTGTTTTCTTCTCTAGATAAGCCTGAACTTAATAATTAAAGTCCAAGCGTTTCTTTCAAGATATTCGTGTTCTTATTAATGATTTTGTTTGGAGTAGTGGTGACCTAGTGGGTTTTGGATATACATAATTTTTAAAATGACGCGACTTTCAGTAACACGTTGATATCGTTTTTTATTCTCTATAAATAGTTTATTACTTTGGACTTTTGCTTTTATATGCATTTCACATATAAATGGAATTTATATTTCGAAAAGAACAAGAAGAAAAAATATAATAGCGAAGCGGAAAAGGAGGCAAAGTAAAAACGCCCAATGTGCGCCAATTGCCACCTGACTGGTCTCTCTCTATAAACGGTTATCAAACGATTTACCAAAATTATCATAAAATTATTTTATATTATTAAAACTAAAAATGATAATTATAACTTTTAAAACGAATTATAAGATAATTATTAAATTTTATTAAATTATTATGAAATAATTATAATTTAATGAAATGTATACTTTATCCCATTTTCTTTTGGGTAAACTATATCATTCTTATTTCACTCATTATACTTTTAATTTTTTTTTAATTTACTCACTAAATTTTTGAATTGTTCTCATTTTGGTCATTTTAAATTATTTTCTTTTATTATTATTATTCTATGGAATGGTATTTTTATATATTATTAAATATAAAAATAATTTAAAATAAATAATAAAATAATATTTATTATTATTAAATTTAAAATAATTTAAAATATTCACTGTCCTTCTCGTCGTCATCGACCACTATTTAGATTTAATTTTATATTTTAAACCAGTTTTATATTAAATAATAATAAAATAATTCAGAGAGACAAAAACAAGAACAATTCAAAAATTTAGTGATTAAATTCAAAAAATTGAAAGTACGTTGAGTAAAATAAGAGAGATAGTAGAATTTAACAATGAATGGTGTAGTTTATCATTTTCTTTTTACCTCCCCTAAGTAATTTCCTTTATCGAATGTCACAAGTTGGCGTAGAGTCCACACTAAGATGCTCCCAACGGTCCCACAGAAAAAGCCTCGCACTCTACACGATAACATCATCATCATCATCATCGTTTAATCATAAGGTTAATTTCATGGATCCTACGGTATAAACTCAACGGAACACCTGCGTGTCGCGTGTCCGCTACTACACGTTACAGAACCCCATACATATTTATATCCCTCGCGGTCTTTGCAATTGCAACGTTTCCTACTCCTCACGTTCGGTCTCCTCCCCTCACGTGATTTTCCCACTTATTCTCCGCCCTATTCTAGATTAAATGCGAGCGATACAACAGAGAGAATCTGCGAATGAATCTTTGATTTCTCGTTTCTTCGAAGTTGCTGAGTGATTTCGCGGTAATTTATTGTTTTTGTTTTGTTCTGTTTTGTTTGGGTGCCGAGAAAAATGATGTGAATGGCCGAAGGGATACTTAGCCGTTAAGTCTGTTTTGATATCTATTCCCTTCGCTTTTTTTTCCTTCTTGAATTAATGAATAAAGTGCAATGTGAAAGTAGCATATCTAAAATCGTGTTATTTACTTATGATAGATTGGATAGTTCTTTTAGGCTTTACTTGGTGAGTTACCGTACTGATTAATTTACTTGTTTGGTTTATGAGAAAGCAGCGGAAAATAATATTTAAATATTTAATATTATTTTGTGTTAACGTGTTATACTATACAAGAACTCCGTTTTAGAGCAAATAGTTTCATTGACTCTAGACTTTTTTAAGAATGCTCTGGAGTTCAAAGTTTACCGCTACAGAAAAAGCTAGCCGTTCCTTTCATTTTACGCTTAATTTATGCTGTGATTTTCCCACTTATTCTACGCCCTATTCTAGCATTACATGCGAGCGATACAACAGAGAGAATCTGCGAATGAATCTTTGATTTCTCGTTTCTTCGAAGTTGCTGAGTGATTTCACGGTAATTTATTGTTTTTGTTTTGTTCTGTTTTGTTTGGATGCCGAGAAAAATGATGTGAATGGCCGAAGGGATACTTAGCCGTTAAGTCTGTTTTGATTTCTATTCCTGTTTTGATTTCTATTCCTTTCGCTTTTTTTTTACCTTCTTGAATTAATGAATAAAGTGCAATGTTAAAGTAGCATATCTAAAATCGTGTTATTTACTTCTGATAGATTGGATAGTTCTTTTAGGCTTTACTTGGTGAGTTATCATACTGATTCAAAGCACATAAATGATTATCAAGTTACTAATAATCGTCTTCAGGTTTTCATGAAGTTGTTTTTTATATATGAATTTGTTACTTCTGACATATACGATCAATCTTAATAACTGAAGGCCTGAGCTGGATATTTATGGTTCGAGCAGTGGAATTATTTTGACCGAGGCAGCTTCATTGGGGTACTGGATTTGAGGGGCTTGTTCTTACCAAGTATTTAGGGATGGCACTGGAGCCGGATCAAGCTTCGATTGACTCTATTACCCTATTTGTCGCACTCCTTAGCTCCTGCATTGTGATTGGTCACCTTCTGGAGAAAAATCGATGGTTTAATGAGTCAATAACTGCACTTGCTATTGTGAGTTGTTCAATCATTCCTTAACCCATTAACCTTGTTATTAAGTTAGGATTGAATTGGTCTCGTTTTGGTTGTTGTTTTGTAACCGGGATATAATTTTTGTTCATATTTGCTGATGATTTTGGGTGCGTTTGAAGGGTCTTTGTACCGGAATTGTTATTCTGTTTACCACTGAAGGAAGGAGTTCACGCATTCTAGTATTTGATGAGGAGCTTTTCTTTATTTATCTTCTTCCTCCTATCATATTCAATGCAGGGTAAGTCTCTGACTTATGCTAAACAGTCAAATCTTTGTTTTTTGTTGCTTTATGTTTTGATCATCAATATTAAAATTGTCATTTGAAGATGATGCATTATCTTTGATATTTCTTCAAAACTGAAACTACTCGTGCCATTTTTTTATCTTTTTTTATTGGTGTTATGTGTTTGATAATCGGACATTTTTCTATTCACCAGATTCCAGGTCAAAAAGAAGCAATTTTTCCGTAACTTTGCGATGATAATACTGTTTGGTGCTGTTGGTACTTTGATATCATTTGTTATTGTGTCCATAGGTATATTCAAATTTCTTCAACCTTTGTTGTCTTCAAGAAAATCTCTTTACTATTGTTCAGTTGCATGCATATATAAAGGCAATTGCTATATTCAGGTAGACTGCTTTTCTTGTTGCATTTATTGGAATTTATCTTTTATACTGCTTATGCATGATACTAGGCAACCTTTAATGCTTTATTCTCCAAATTTTTACTAGACAAAGAAAATTTCCTAAAGATGGTTTAACCTACTACTACTATAAAGTGGCGTGGAGCCTTACTATTTGATGCCTAAATATATATTTTTTGAGAATGATTACCTTCATGATTTTTAATGAACATTTTAGAAGTTATTTTCTTCTCTCTTTACACCCTGAAAGCATACATGTATAATAACCTTCCAATTGAAGTTGAGGATTAGAACTTATCTGCCATTTTTATACACATTCTCAGACCTGCATTATAATTATATTGTCAGGATTTCCGAAGGAATTTAACATGTTCAATGCTTTTGCAGTGTTCATAGATAACATTCATTTAGATGAGGTTTACTCTTCCTTGAAAAATCCAGTATGATACACACTGTTTGTTAAAACAAGGGATACTTCAAAACTAAGATTGACTTTAGCAATTGCAAGTTGCTTTGCGTTGTAAATTCTACCTGTATATTCATCTTTTCCCCATTTGTACCTGGGAGAGTATATTTGAGGCTAATTGTGGTGCAACCTTTACAATTATCTCTTGTCTCAGGTACCATGCAGTTGTTTAAGAAGTTAGATATTGGTTTCCTGGACATCGGAGATTATCTTGGTAATATCTTTGTCTTCGTTTAATAGTTGCTGATGTTTCTTAGTTTAAATGCTTGCTTTCAACTGATATGCTGTTGTGCGTAGCAAAATACCATTTAAAAATTTGACCGGATTATTCGTCCTTGCATTATGAAAACTATGAACAGATTATTCTCAATTCCTTTTATTCTGAATTATTAGTAGTGACTGCATGGACTTTTTCATCTCATTTTAGATTATGTATTTTATTGAAAATACATGCATATAATCATGCATTAACAGCCACATGTGTACAATATAGATGCATATGCATATGCTTTTCATAGAATCAGGTCTTTTGCCTATCTTGGCTCTTACGACTGCTTTCTTCTTTTAGCACTTGGAACTATCTTTTCGGCCACAGATTCTGTATGCACTTTGCAGGTATAGATATTTATTTTATTATAGTGAAAAGAAGAGTTGAACATACATTGTAGTATAAATATTGATTTCCTGTGCAGGTGCTTAATCAGGATGAGACACCTCTTCTGTACAGTGTAGTCTTTGGTGAAGGTGTGGTAAATGATGCCACATCAATTGTACTTTTTAATGCAATTCAGAAGTTTGACCTCTCTCACATCACCCCGGGCATTTTTATGAAATTCATGGGGAACTTCTTATACCTTTTTATTACGAGCACATTGCTAGGAGTAGGGGTGAGCCTTTTCTTTCTTATTTTTTCACCTTTCAATGTGTTTATCTACCTTTTCATTATGGTTGCAAAATTTGTTTCATCATTTGACATTATAGTCTTTGTAAAAATCACTCTTTACGTTCAGTTTTCATTACATATGCAGTGAACATCTCTAAATTACATTTATTGCATGGGATTCAAAGCCATAGTATCAAGGGGATTTCTTGTTTGAACTTCTAGTCTTTTCGAAGGAAGACCTAAAGAGATGATTAAATCAGTGTTCAATACTATCTAGACTGACAGAAGATAGGATTCTTTTTTTTCGTTCCTAATCATTGTTAGCTTATGACAACAGATAATTGGGTTTACTCCTATAAATTATGACAACAGATAATTGTTCAATAAGCACTTTATTCTTTGATTATTAAAGAACTAGCTATTTGGTTTTAAGTTATTTTTAGAAACTCTAGGCTTTTTAGCTTGACGTTGACTTGAACAATAAAGAGGCCGTAACCTCTCTCTTTTTCCCAAGAGAAATTGCGCATTGATAATTAATTGAGTATGCTTTTGCCTCAAAGCAATTTGTTCTGTCATCAAACCTGGTGTTTGTTATTGTTCATTCTCATTCAATTATTACTGACTTTGCGTATTTAGTATGCCCTTTTTCAAGGGTTTTTGGCTATCTGAGATTAACGGCATGCATTTATTTTATGTAGTTGTCTAACACAACAGCAATTTCACTTGCAGGTTGGACTAATAAGTGCATACATCATAAAGAAATTGTACATGGGCAGGTTTGTTAAGGGAAAATGATCGTCTTTTCTTGTTTCCTCTTTCATGATGCAAAATACAGTTAATTATCCCAGCTTCTTTGTCCATCCTTCTTTGTGTTAAAATGAAAATGCATGAACCTTTTACTAGGTAGCATTAAATGTCTTCTGAGTTTCATTGTGCCAATTGGAGTTCAACAACTTTGTTGTTAGTTCTGTTCTGAGCTTTAACAAGATCTAATATTGTTGACTGTCAAGTGTTTGTGAATCGACTGTTTCAATGTGTGGACTAAAGTTCCGTGGCAGTGTTGTTAGGCATTTCTCTTTAGGGCTTTAACAATACCTAATATTGATTGATGATTTTCAAATGTTCACGAGTTTATTGACGTCAGAAATCGTCTAGAACTGGATTAATTGACACACTTATCACCAACCTAGATTCACATGATAGTCATGGATTAACTAAGAATTCTTACACAATGGTAGCTCTAAGGACTCGTTAGAATTTGTTTCTCCTCTGTAAACGGCTTGCTGTTGAAATCTTATCTTCCAGCATGACATGAGAATCCTATAGTTCTTTACAAATAAAATTTCCTTTTCATGTTTGACTAAGTAGCTAAGCTTCTCCAAATTTCAGGCACTCTACTGATCGTGAAGTTGCTCTCATGATTCTCATGGCTTACCTCTCATATATGATGGCTGAAGTAAGTATTCTTTTTTATGACTGTGTGCCTAAAGATCTTTCTAATATTCAGGTGCTGTTTTCGCATTGCTCATCATGTCCTTGTTTTCTCTGATAATGATTTTGTTTTTCAGTTGTTCAGTTTGAGCAGTATTCTTACAGTGTTCTTTTGTGGCATTGTTATGTCACACTACACCTGGCATAATGTGACTGAAAGTTCAAGAATCACCACCAAGTACGTTAATTTGGAATTTAGTCCCCACATGTTGAAAAGCTTTTCTGTTTGTAATTGTCATCTCTCTCTTTCTTTTTTTAAGGCATTCTTTATCAAACCCAAATAGACATGTTTTTACATTCTTGTGCTGATTATTGATCATTGTAGGCATGCTTTTGCAACATTATCGTTCATATCAGAGATTTTCATCTTCCTATATGTTGGTATGGATGCTTTGGATATAGAGAAGTGGAATGTTGTTAGCAAAAGGTGATTCCTATATTTTTGGCTAAGTACAGTTTCATTTATATCGTCTTGCCGTGTTGCATGGATAATTTTAGACATTTTTTCTTTTTTTTTCTCCATCTTTAACCAGATCAAGAAATTGATTACGTAATGTCAAGTAATAGATGGTCAATATTGTATGTTTATCAGTTATCATTGTGTGCTTTTTATTTTCTTCAAATGTTATCTAACTTGAATATCAAAGCGATGTCTCTCAATATCAATTGACTGTTCAGTTGGATATATTGTGTGTTTTTGTAGTCCCGGAACATCTGTGGGGGTTAGCTCTATACTTCTTGGCCTAGTTCTAGTTGGAAGGGCAGCTTCTGTATTCCCTCTATCTTTTATATCCAATTTATTCAAAAGGACTGAGAGGGACAAATTTACTTTGAAGCAACAGGTCGGCATTTTGAGTTATATTTTAGATTTTCTTCCCTCTGACATTCTTGATGTACTGAATTGTTCAAGTCAAACAGGTTACTATATGGTGGGCAGGGCTCATGCGAGGTTCTGTATCTGTGGCGCTTGCTTATAATCAGGTAAATTAGGTGATAGGATGTATGATCTCGAGATTTCTGCATTGTGATTGATTTATTTCACAAAAGCTGAACAAACATAAATCAATAACCATTTCATTGATTTCAACATTGTCTTTGACATCAATATTAGATAATAGTAGTAAGATATAGAACTTTATGTACTCGGCATGAATTTGCTCAATAATCATTTCAATATTGTCTTTGACATCAATATAAGATAATAATAGCAAGGCATAGAACTTTATGTTCTCAGCATGAATTTGCTGGCGTTCTGAATTGTTTGCCTCGTTAGAGGAGATAATTTTTTGCAGTGAAAATGGTATAAATTTGGCATTTGAGTGCCTGATCAGATAATGATGTATGGTAAGACGAATACTTCGTCATGCTTTTCTATAGATTGAGAAACGTGTACCAAATTTTAGCAATTATGAAGGGGAGTTTTAACGGGACCTCCAATTCTTATATATATATATATAAAAAAGAAACGTGTACCAAAAAATTGTGAATTCTTGGGCGACCACCATCCATTTACTGCAGTTATGTTCGGTGCATTTGCTTTTGGCATGTTATATAGACGTTCTTCTTTCTGCGTTAACTGTAAAGAAACTATAATTGTTGTTTTGCTTTGGTTGCCACCGAAATTGTAATTTATTGAATGCATGCAGTTTACTCGATCGGGGCACACTCAATTGCGAGGAAATGCCATTATGATAACAAGCACCATCACTGTTGTTCTTTTCAGTACTGTGGTAAGGACTCAACCTAAAGTTAGAACTGTTTCTCAGTAATGGTAGAACAAGGAACTAAGAAGCAAAGAATGCTACTTGTCAAAAGAAAGCGCAGCAAAAATTTTGCGTGCATCAAATGTGATATATTGTGCCATATCATGTAAGTTTGATTGTCTCTGTTTCAGGTGTTTGGATTATTGACGAAGCCCCTAATAAGGTTGCTGCTGCCGAGCAAGAACCTTAGCAACACTGCATCCTCTGACTCTCTTGATCCTTTTCCTCCAAAGCCAATGGCAGATCTGCCACTTATTGCCAACGGGCAAATTGCAGATGATGAGGCGGGTAATAACATTCCCCGTCCAATCAGCCTCGAGGAGGGTAACGACAACATTCCCCGTCCAACCAGCCTGCGTATGCTCCTAGCTACCCCGGCTAATACTGTCCACTACTTCTGGCGGAAGTTTGATGACAGCGTCATGCGTCCCATGTTTGGTGGGAGAGGTTTTGCGCCAGTTATTCCTGGCTCACCTTTAGAACCACTTCTTCACTGAATTTTGCACCAGGAAAAGATAGTTGGATTTAAGGATCTGCCTAGTGTGCGATATTATATATATATATAGTATTCACATTGCTTGTGTAAATATTAGGTGGAAATCAGATACACTGAAATTATTGTAAATTCGTAGTGGCTCACGATTTAGGAGTAGGTAGGGAAGCTTTATGAGATAACACCTTGAAACTTGATCGGAATATGCTAAGATAAAGCCAAAAAGCCCTGAAGCCTCCGGACTTGCAAGCCATTCTGGAGCCGATCGTTCTTTTAAAACCCAAATTGGCTTACCATATTCCCATATGTAATGGGGTAAGAGGAGGTAGGGTAGTAAGTTGCTCTCAATATGGGGTAAGGAGAGGTAAGGTAGTAGGCTGCCTCCAACGCTAGGTTGAGAGCAGCTTCCGTGAAAGACCTCCAAATATGAATTGCCTACCATGAGACTCGATCCCACGACCACAAAGTTAAGAGTCTTGCGCTCTACCAACTGAGCTCGACGGGCAATTCTTTTAAAACCCAAAGATAATAGGAAAAATGTTTTGCATTAAAGTTTGTTTCTGATATCATTCGAACAACACATCAATGACAGATAATTTTAGTCCGTTCGATCTCGAACGTAAAACGTGAATAAACTTCAATACACATAAAATTTGATGTTACCAACAAATTCTTTTACCGTTTGTAAACATCTGAAAAGAATGTGGTAAGCGTTATATTTTAGAAAGAAGGATGGGGGTGTCATTTTTCAAATCTACGATATTAATCAAATTTGGAAAAAAAAACCCCACCCAGTTCCCATTTTATGCATGCAACACTGTCATCCTATGCCCCCTTTTATCAAATCCAAAAACCTTGGCAAACTGTTACAGCCAAATTATTTAAATCAAAAAAATGAGGAAGATAACCCCACATATGAGGGTTAAAGGAAGATATGACATTGTTATTGTGATACGAGCTTCATGGAAATCAGCATAATAAGCCTCTGAAACTTTGACTTGGCTAAGGCTAATTGACGCCGCTCTCAAAACCAGTCGTAGGTTTCCGATCAACGATTTTCTTTTATCGTCTGACCTTTGCTAGCCAAGCTATGATCGAACTTAATTTGCAACCGTTAATAAATTAAGCCCAAAGGAGACCATCAAAGCCTATCTCCAAAGTCATGCTTGTTCGCTTGGTTGTCTTCAAGTGATTCAACGTATGGTTCTAAAAGATCATCAGATCTTTCGGATGAAATGCCATAATCTTTTAGAATGCGAGGTGAGGCGGCCACAGCTACTTCCCTCTCCAAGACAGCTAGGTAATTGTCTTCAAATTCAAAAACCATATATATGTCTTGACAACCTGACCAGAATAGAGGCTGGCATGAGAACTACTTAACAATAAGATGAATGACGACGATGGTGTTAGGACCTACAAGCAACAAGGTGTGCCAGGTGATGGATGTTCTTTATTCGAGTTCCATTGAACTTCAATACCTGAAACTTCTATGTTTTAACACATCCGAATAAACTGGAAGAGGCGAATCAGGAGGATATAGAAAACCAACCTGCTGGTTACCCATATCCTCGTATCCAATGTTCACTTCATTTGCCAATACCTATTGAAGACAAAAAAAAAAGTGAAATCTCATGCACCGAAATACTGTTTTCAAGATTCCTGTGAAGGAAAACCATGCTCGACAATACGATGGTCATAGTTTTGAAGAATGGTTATGACAAGAGATAATCATGTTTCATCTCGCAAACCCCAACAGATTATGATGACATTAATGCAAAAGCATATTAAGTGAGAGTTTGCCTTGGCTATCAAGGTACAAAATATCATAAGCATCGTACCTGTGATAGGATTACAATCTGTTCCCCTTTGAACCTCGCCAAAGAATACCGTGCCTTAGCCACCAGTTTCAACGAAGAAGAATAACGCACGATTAAATGTCAAACCTCAAAAACACTGAGATCAAAATACAAATATCAGTAGAATATCATGCTTCAAGAGTTTCCCAACTTACTCCTGTTGATTCTTCGCATTCCTCCCTGAAAATTAGACATGAAATTCACGACCAGCATTAATATCCTTACATTGTTAAATCCATTCATCAAAAGAATTGAATGGACTGTATAACTTATTCCATACTACTCAATTAATGGTTCTGAAAGTGGAGTAAAAACCAAACCAGCAATAATTAGATATGAAGGTTGGTCTCCATCAATATGATAGGGAACCTGGAATACCACACACAGAAGGAACTAAATCATTATTCGCAGTAAATGAAAGCAAATCTAACCGATATTTTTGGAGCTGTATGTTTTAGTTGAAGGCCAAAACTTTAACTGCATACCAAGTGTACTCTTGAGTTTAATACTACTTTCACTTTCATGAATTTTCCTGCTCTAATAATACCAAGCTCTGCTACGTCCCCTGCAAATCTGTAAGGGAGCTTAAATTGGATACATAGACTAGCTTATATTACAGGAATATGGAACAAATGCTTGAAGAACGACAGGAACTGTAAGGGCCAATTACTTTTGACTTATGAGATAGCGGAATGCAATGCGCTCGTTAGATCTGAATGGAACTGTTCCTTCATAACCTACATGAACATCATCAAAACTGACAATCACATCACCCTGAAAAGGTAAATGTAAAATAAGGATTATCTTTAATTACAGGTATACACAATGTCTGAAAACAAGCAAAATAAATCCTTGACATTAAGGTTCTGTTATCATTTGTGAGGAAATTGGTCTCCCATGACAACCACTAGAAATAAATAAGACGTGTGCGAGAACAGAAAACTGAGATGAAATATACAATAGAATTAAAGGTGCAACATGCTTCATACTTGTGATCATTGCCAACATACCTGCTTTAGAACATTATTTGCATCCGAAGTAGGTTCCACTTTTCGAACAAGCACACCCTGTGGAAGTCAACCTTTACATTGGAAACATCTATGGAAATGAGCTGCTCAATTGACTTGACACCACCAAGTTTAAAATAGCATTGGAAATATGTGCAGAAGTTAGCTTGTGCATTTGCTTGCTATGCTGAGTCAATTGTAGCATAAGTACCTCGTTAGACTGTACTTGTAAGCACACACGTAGTGCTGGATTCTCCAACTTCATTAGCAATACACCAAGGCAAGGGAAGCCTGGAATGCAGTGAATAGCTTTATTTGTTTATTTTATTTTTGTAGAAAATGTCATGTAACTTCGATACTCATCCTTAACTACTAGGTGTGAATCACAAATCAGAAACAGAATGATAGTCAAAGATGAAAGATAATATTTAGCATAATGATTAGTTCAAGCGACGGTTTATAAGAAAAAATTAGCTGATCATTTTTCCCATATGTAATGGGATAAGGGGGGTATGATAGTAGGCTGCCCCCAATGCCAGATTAAGAGCAGTTTTCGTGGGAAACCTCTGAATTATGAAATATCCTCCCTGGGACTCAATCCCATGACCACAAGATTAAGAGCCTTGTGCTCTACCAACTGAGCTGGACGGGCATTTCCGACGGGTTATAAGAGATGACTGTAAATTTTGGTACCCTAAATTTTGGGAAACTTCCGTGCGACGTTGCCATATGAATGACACCCTAAATTTTGATCAATGGATGCCTCACAGGTAATTTATTGATTGTTTTGGTACCTTTTCGGTAAAAATGCCCATAATAGCGGTACTCTTTTTATGCCAAAAATAGACATTACCGCACACGATTGGATTTGGTCAACCCATTTCCTACCCTATTTTGCCTCTTTTTATATTTTACCTTTTAATTTCCCTTTTCATAAAACAGTTACTGAAGTCAGAGTAGAACAGTTTAAAAGATTCATCTAAAAGTAATGATATAAATTAGTTGAAATACATAATTTAAGCAAGTATTTGCTATAAATTGGTTAATATATTTAATGATTAATTAGACTATCTGACCAGACTAATTCGATTTATTAAATTTGTGACCAAAAAAGAATCAAAAATTATTATTATTATATTACGTGAAAAAGTAATTATTATTATTATTATTATTATTATTATTATTATTATTTCAAATAGAAAAGAGAGGGAAAAGCAATTATTTGTACGACAATAGGTTCAGTTTTAAATTGGGCAGTAACTGAAGCAACGGATTTCGATGTGGTTTGTCTATTTTTTATTTACTATTTTTTTTAGTTTTAAAATTTGATAAATTTGAACTCACCCAGAAATACAATGTATTTCATAAATGATGAAAACAATATATTTAATATTTTAAAATTATTTTTTGATAAAAATAAAATAAAAGCAGTATAAAATAAAATTATATATATTATTAAAATGTGATTATGTTCAGTTTTTTATCACTACTTCATTATTATGGATTATAACCTTCAAACTCTTTATCACATAATGATTTTAACTAAAATCAATATCAAATGAAATTAACTTAACTTAATATTTAATATAATTTTAAATATAATTTTCAACCTCTGTAACACATTTCTCTTACTTCTCATTTTTCCACATTATATGTTTAAATAAAAAATACTACTAAAAAAAGCTTAAGAGTTATTTTTGCCCTTATAATAAACTCAATTTATCAATTTTATCTTTATTTTTTTATCAAGTCAGTCTTCGAAGTTGTTTATGCTATTTATTCTAGCCTTTGAAGCCAGTTAATCGTTTTGACTAACAAAACCGTGAGTCTTTTACGTCAATGTATTCAGAAATTATGTTAAAATATTTATTAAACACAATGATTATAACAAATTTTTAAAATTTTATTATTTACTAGCTTAATGATCACGTTTGCTCCTGTAGTTGACCTAATTTATCATTTTCGCTCCTATCATATTTTCGCATAAATTTAGCCTTCAAAATTGTTTAATTACTTCATTCTATACCCTTCCCCTAACTTAAACCCTAAGTTACAAATCATAAATTAGTATTTAGGATTTAGAGGTAATGTTATATGATTTAGGGTTTAAGGTTTATAAAATAAGGTTTTAAGTTAGTGCAAGGTATAAAATGATGCAATTAAACAATAGGGGTAAAAGTAATAAATTTAGTCTACTACAAGTGCAAAAATTACCCTTTTACCTTATTTATTTTAGTGAGATTAAAGTACTATGTCAAAATTTGAGTTTTTTTTAACTGTTGTATTTAGTGAATATTTTAAATATTTTATTATTTATTTTCAATACATGTAATGCTATCACCAAGCCACATCAATAATATTAGCTAATATGAAAATTGTTGGTGTTAATAAACGCAGAAGATTAATGATTTTGTTTGTCAAAGCGAACTTCAAAAGCTAACTGATAAAAAAATAATAGGGGTCGAAATTGATAAATTAAATTTACTATAAGTACAAAAGTCACCCTTAAATCAAATAAAAATAATACATTAAAAAAATGGCTGAATTTACGAGATAATTTTGTGAGAAAAAAATTCACGAGGTAACGCTTTCCAACAATTAATTGTTGAGATAGGGTGTTTGCTACAGGTCGAATATAGATCGTCAGGTGGTCTGGGCGACCAATGAAGGTAGCCAGGTGGTCTGGGCGACCAATGAAGGTCGCCAGGTGGTCTGGACGCCATGCCGTTTGAGTTTGGGAGAAACAAAATGTAGTGTTATCTCTTCCTAGTCAAACAATAATTGTTTGGGTTAAATGCAAAATTGGTCCTCATAACTTTGCACTCTCATACATGTATTTATTTTAGTCACAATTATAATTTAGTCATACATGTTTCTTGTTTATCCTATTTTAGTATGTATTTATTTTAAAATTTATTATTGGGATATCTTGTTTTGTATTTAGTATGTATTTATTTTAAAATTGATTATTGGGATATCTTGTTTTGTATTCAATAGTTTTTATTTGTTCTACGTTTATTTATTTCGAGTATTTTCACTATTTTTTAGTTTTATTTTATATTGAAAAAATTTGAGAAATAATATCGTTGGTAGGGAGAAATAAATACATACTAAAATAGGATAAACAATAAACATGTATGACTAAATTATAATTAAACATAAATACTAAACAGTGGCTAAAATAACATGTTTACAAATTTCATGGCCAATTTCGAAAATTAAGGAAAATATATAAAACACATGAAATCAGTGATTAAAATGAAATAACTAAAAATATTATGATCAAAATGAAGCATACACAAACTTGACAGAATAAACAACTAGTGACTAAAATATAATTATTAAAATATACATGCCTGAAACAAAACATTAAAAATGTCACTAAATGATTAAACAAATAGATTACAAAGCATAGGGGACCGAAAATGCTATTATCCCCTAAATATTAAAACACGCATATGAGAGTGTAAAGTTGTGAGGACCAAATTTACATTTAACCCAAACAACAAGTGTTTGACTAAGATGAGAACACTACATTTTGTTTGTGAAACAACCCAAACCCAAATGCATGACGCCCAGCATACATGGCGACCTTCATTGGTCGCCCAGACCACCTGGCGACCTTCATTGGTCGCCATGATCACCTGGCGATCTATATTCGAACTGTAACAAACACCCTATCTCAACAATTAATTGTTGGAACGCGTTATCTCGTGAGTTTTTTTTTTCTCACAACATTATCTCGTAAATTCAAAAATGATCATCCAACTCAGTTGGTAGAGCACAAGGTTCTTAACCTTAAGGTCGTGGGATCGGGTCTCACGGAGGGCATTTCATAATTCGGAGGTCTCTTACGGAAGCTGCTCTCAACCTAGTATTGAGAGTAGTCTACTATCTTACCTTCCCCTTATCCCATACATATGAAAAAAAAGAACATCCATTTATTATCTCGTAAATTCAGCCCATTAAAAATGACCAAATAAGACAAAGAAAATGAAACGCATAAATAGTCATTCAACATCGAACTCGTTAGTCACAGATCCTCGTTCCAGCTCACAACTGTACCAACTACATCCATCTCATGGCTTAGAACTTGCACAGCTGTAAGGGCATCATCGTAAATAGACCATAACGGTAGCCCCACTTTGCAGCAAAATTAATTGCAAGAAGATAAATTCCATTGGAGATCCAACTTTGCCATCCAGAAAACGCCTCCATTTTTTTCCACTCCGACGACTCCCCCCCAAAAAAAAACGAATAAACACTCTCAGCTAGAGAAAGAAAGTCAAAAGAGAAAAAAAATTGAGGAAGAAGAGCAGGCATCAATGGCGGAAGTAAAAGAGGAGAAGAAAGCTACGAACGAAGAGAGCGTGAAGCTGTTCGTTGGTCAAGTTCCGAAGCACATGACGGAAGCTCAAGTCCTCGCAATGTTCGAAGAGTTTGCTTTGGTTGACGAAGTCAACATCATCAAAGACAAGGCTACTCGCGTCTCTAGAGGTTCAGCTTTCTGTTTGTGTTGTTTTGAGCTTATTATTCTCCGCTTTTTTGAAGTTTCAAATCTCTCGCATTCTTCGTTCTTCTTTAGCGTTTGTCCTCTTCAGCGATTTGTTTGTTTCGTTTAGTTTGAAGCTAGATTTGCATTGTTTCGTGGGGTTTGTGGCGTTTGGAAGCCTAATTTCGAAGTATTTTATCGTGTTTTTTTATGTTGATTAAGGGTGTTGCTTTGTTATATGTCCTTCAAGAGAAGAGGCTGATAAGGCGGTCAATGCCTGTCATAATAAGAAGACTTTACCAGGGGTTAGTTCAAATTTTGAATTTCTGTTCCGTTGTTTTTCCTTTCTTCTTAGTGATTTATTTTCACATTGTAGTCAAAATCTACCTGATACTCTACGCCGTTTGCTCTACAGATCTCATCGTTTTCTAAATTCATAATTAACTTGACACATCTAGCTTATTCAGCAGCTGACCTTCAAAAGTAGCTCTTAACTTCCACATCTGTCCACTCCGTTTCCCTATTGATCTGAGGCATTCAAAATTGTTACTGCATTTTGGACATTGTGGTAGTGGCATGAATCTTGCTATATACTGTTTTAGATACTGAAAGCTGTCATCGTGTGAAATTGTTTCTGAAGTATCCAAACCTTGAACATGTGTTACTTGGCATTGTAACAAACTTGGTAGAAGTTCTGTACTGCTTCATTGTTCTGATTAGGGTACAAGCAGATAATGAAAGCCTGCATGCTGTAAGCTTATTTTTTTTTTTGATAGAAGTTGGAGGTCTCATTAAA